TCTTATTTTAAATTATTTTTATTCACAACATTTATCATGTAACAACATAAAATGTTTGAAATAAGGAGTGTAAGTTTTTTTAGCTTGAATTTAATAAAAGTGTGTTTAATAGAATAATTTATAGTTTTAGAAGCTCAATAAGTTCACTGAGTCAAAATAAATCACATGCTTTTTTTTTTTTTATAAGCCCAATAGAATAAGTTGAGTTTATTAAAATAGCCCAACACCAAACTTGTCTTTGCCTAACGTTTCTATATGATCCTTAAGGGCATTCTCAAGTTGGAAATTTTCAAGAGCCGCAACGAGAACTTTGATTCATTTTATGGTAGCTGCAACTTTGAATGGTGGGGCAATTACTCACCTTCTACATCATTTGCTACCCAACAACATCCATCGAGTTCGAGCACATCTCTTGAAGAAATTGTTAAGTCTGTTGCACTTAGCACTTTACAGTTTCAACAAGAGACTAGGAGCAACCTTAAGAATCTAGCAGATCGATTGGACCAACTTGTGTCCCGAAGGGTCGATGTAATTGAGAATTGAGATTTGGCCACTTGATGGGTATCACTAAGGCGAGGGAGCATTAGTGAGCGAAAGCATATCTCGAGTTTAATTGTCATCAGAAATGAAAAATGCCACGAGTTGTGCTACAGAGTTGACGAAATCTCCTAAGTTACATCGAGAATTCATGGAGGAATCTGAACAAGTTGTGGTTTTGCAGTCTGCAAGCGATTTATCTTCTAGTGATTTTATGGATGTTGGTGAATCTAATACGTCGGAAAATCTTGACCCGAGTGATCTGGATAAAATGAAAGTTGTACTTGTCAATTATTTAACTTTTGATAGTTTACTAAAGTTTCAAGATAACTTTTATGAATTGTATTGTTTTCCTCTAACTGAAGATCAAGTGGAAGTAGTTCCAGCGATAACCAAACCCCTTGCTCTGCTTTTCTCAAATTTCTATCTCGGCGAAAGAGGTGTACAAAAGGGATAATGTAGCTATGCAGCGAACAAGCGTGACATCTATTACTTGTGCCGATGATTCAATTTTCTTTTTTTTTTTTTTTTTGTTTTGCAGGTGCCAAAATCGCCACTATAGATTGTTGAGAGTTTGATCAAGATTAAGAAAAAAAGTCTTATGCACGTGTTTAAAAAGATTAAGAAAGGAATTGATTGAGTTTCTAGAATAATGTCTAGCCAAATACGTTAAAAAATGATGCTTTTTGGGAGGCAACCAAATTTATTTTATTTTTATTTTTATTCTTGATTTTTATTTTTAAGTTATTTTTTGTTTTATTATTTTTCTAGTATTGATAGGAATTTTAGTAATTATAAAGCAGAAACGAATTTTTTGTAAGGCATGGGCAAATTTGTTTGACTCAAAATGAAGTAGCTCTCATTATATAAGTTGTGGTCACGCCTTGTAGAAATTTGTTCCTTTTTTTTTCTATTCTAATAACCCTTCGAAGTTTTGATTTTATTTTAAATTAAATAAATAAAATCGGGAATAAAATGGAAAAATCATAAACAAACTCCTATTATTTATGTCTTCTCGTATTCATCTTCTTTTCTCCTTAGACCGTCTCCGACCGAGACGGAAAACGCAAAATGCGACCCAAATTTAACACGCCCTTCAAGCACAGGGTTTGATCCTCCGTCACCTCTGAGAATAGGAAAATCCCCCAAAATCTCTCAACCGAACCTAAAACCCATACCCAAATTGTTACGTGATTCTCTCTTCTCCTGGTAACGCATATTTGCATTTGATCGCAATTTTTTCCGTTTGTATTTTTTAAATTGCAATCTCAACCCCTTTTTTTATTTCAATTACAAATTGATACAATAATTTAGAACAAAAGGTGTAACACCCCACTTTTATTTTAAAGAAAATCTATGGCTTTTCCAAAAATCACCGTAAATTTTTTTGAAATTCAATTTTTGATTTCAACATAAAGCATTAACGATCATTTCACAACATAGTTCAAGTCATATCTGAACTCAGGGTTTCATTACATGGATTTCATTATCCCAAAGTAAACATATCAGCATGATATTCAACGAAGCATATCATCATGAATAATCAATTTCAACATGATCCATAAAGGAACGTACCATCTCATAAGGTTCAAAATCCAATCCACAAATTCAACATTTTCAAAACGTCATAGTTTGAAAACAATTCAACATGTTCATAAACCAATGCAACAGGTTTATAATACCAACTCAACATGTTCATAAAATATCAGAAGCAATTAAACATAAATAAGGACCAACCACTCGTCCCCTCGTTGTCATGCCTGCCACCTGTTCAACCTAAAAGGGGGGTTACATGAGAGTGAGCACAATCCACTTCCTCACTACTATGCAAATAAAAAAAATATATATGACAGATAGGTATGGTCGCAGAATATATATGACAGATAGGTATGGTTGCGGCAATGGTAACATATGTTCTACCTGGATAGACACTCCCCGCGGTGCTGACGTCCGCAGGTAGCGCATGCCGGCAGATCCTGTCGGGCTGGCTGACCCACCTGAGCTGGGCCCCTCTGTCCACGGTTCCTCTAATCCTTACGATCGTCCCACTTCCTCTTGTTTTTGTTCTGAGCTGGCTGGGGTGGTGTTGGCTGAGCAGGCGGAATGGCGGCTGGATGTCTGACTGGTGGCGGGGCAAATGTGTCTCGCTGGAGGTATGCCTCAATCTGCTGAGCACGCTCAACAGTCTCGACATAGTCAAGGAAGCCATGACTGGCTATCAACAGTCGAATATTGCTCCTCAAACAATCGAGGAACTGTGTCGCCTTCTTCTCCTCTGTATCCACGAGATGCGGAGCAAAGGCACTCTTGCGAGCGAACTCGCGCTCGTACTCGTCCATTGATCGCTCACCCTGCTGGAGAGCGGAAAACTCCCGCACCATCCTCTGCTTGAAATGGCGAGGATAGAATTTATCCTCCAAGAGTATCTTAAGCTGAACCCATCTCATGGCATCACGTTTGTCCTCAGTGCGTAGGCGCCAGTAATACTCCCACCAATCTCCGGCGGCTCCCTCAATCTGCAGTTCGACGCAAGCCATCTTATGTGGCTCAGAAATCCCCATAATACGGAAGATCTGCTCCATCTTTTAGATCCACTTGGCCACGGCTAGCGGGCCATTCTCCCCAGAGAAACGGGGCGGATCATAGGTACGGAATCGGCTGACCACAACTACCTGGTCCTGCTCGACTGCAGCTTGAGGATCTCTACGCGGCGGCATTCTGGAGATCCAAAAACACTTGAATTGATCAGTATACCCAATTAATAAATAGCCATACTGGACTTGAAATAATAAAATAAACAATAAAATCCGAAAACACCTAGCTTGGCTAGAGTTCTGGTATACTTAAACTTTCTATGTTCTGGCTCAAAATGGAGTTCTGACTTAGTCTAGAGTCCTTGGACTTAGTTGTTCTAAAGTTCTATCTCTAGAGTTATCTGTCTTACAGGAGGATAGTCATCTAGGCCCCATACTTGAACTGAATTAAACACTTGCAAACTTAAACTGAGTCAGGTGACTTACCTCGGAGTCGGTGCAGGATGAGCGTGGCGTGGTCATGTTTTTCTAAACTTTGAAAGTATACAGAAACGCACTCTGCTCTCTGAGACCACCTTCATTCACACCCCGCCTTACTAGCTTTGAAAAATCAGAGTAAAATTTTTGCTTTTATTTTCAAAAAGTCGTGCGAGCTTGGTTTTTGAAAATACTAACTTGTTGCGGGATGTCACAGACAAAAACTTATTTAACTTTCTAGCAGACATATATAAAACATGCAACCAAACTATCCGCTACGGATAATGGAATTAAACATGCAATGTCCAAACTGTCTCGCACTGTCTAGTCTGCTAGCGGAAGCATCCGAAATACAGAAATACATGCATACATATCCGAATAATACATGATCATAAAATAAGGACATAAAATGTGCGTAAAAATGTCCAAGACTCTCATGGCCACGCTTCGCCACGTCTGTGCTCATTCGGCACGCTCGACTCCGTCTCTTGAAAAACACAATGGGGGCGTGAGCAAACCACTATGCTCCAAAAAGACCAGTACTGAATAAGTCAACATTTATAATAACGTTCATGAACATAAATATATAAGAGCTTAAACTGTAAACTTTTCTTCTTGCTTTACTGTGGTAAAAAAACCCTCGGCCCTTAGGTCGGCCGCTCGTGTGAACACATTGATGGGATATTAAGGCCCTTGGCTTCCACCGGTCACCAGATGGGATATTAAGGCCCTTAGGTCGGCCTCCACTTGGAGAACTAACTGTCTCAAACATACCTCTGCCATGGTACAAATATTATACATGATGTTGAATCCAGTACATGACCCCCACCTGTTATGCTGAAAAGGACTACGCAAGTGCTGGAAAATCTGGGTAGTTGTCGGAGGCTCGACTCTCCTCAAGCTACCAAACATATATAAGCAAAATAATCTAAGTATTTTTCTTGACTGCAAAACGTAATCTGAAATGATCATTTTATACTATAACAGATAAGCAGGCAGGTAGATAAGACACATTACAGATAAATAATTACATGCATACATAACAAAACAGATAAAACAAATAAGATCACGTAAACAAGTAAACTGGACTTGCTCATCTGCTCAACTGGATGATCTAGCGTTTCCGGATAAAGTCTAACTTAATCCTGGAAACTGAATTTATCAGTCTATCTTAATCTGGTTTGAACCAGCGCTTACCGAACCGGCTCGAGTTCGACTGGTGACCTAGGCTCGATCCAGGCGGCACGCGCGCACGCTGACCGTGCGGCACTAGCTGCTTGCCGGTCAAGGCGGGAAGGTGACTCTCTTCGATCACTTAACTTATACTAAACCATGTCTACTCATGAAGCTCAATTAAATCAAGATTTTATATTTATCTAAAATTTAAATCGAACATAATTGACCTCTTAACCTCATGAATTTTTAAAATTCACACAAGTCTCAAAAACTCACGAAACTTGGTAGTTAAGTAGTAGACATAGACATGTACTTGCTGTCCAAATTTCATGTCAATAGAACTTCATTTGCTTATTAAACTCATGACTTAAGCATAACATGAAATTCAGTTATATACATTCGTATATTGAAACAATTTGGTAAAATCACATGATCAACATTTTAAGCTCAAACTCAGTCCCAATGTCCACTACTGATATAAGGATTTTACATAAAAGTTTCGCATTCATAGCTTGCATGTGGACAGAGTACTCTCACACATAAAATTAGTTCGACACGCATGCGATCTAAAAATTATAGCTCCTTCATTTATTATGATAAAATCATGAAATTTGGTATGGGGGCTCTCAACTCATATATAAACATGTACATAAGTTTTCATAATTTTATCCTGAGTATAACTCGAGTTTTACGCGTTTGTAGTCGCAACTGAAATTCGCGCATGTAAAGTTCATCTTGCATGTTTAACTTTAAAAATCAAGAACTCGAGTTATACTAAGCCAATTGACCTAATTCTTGATCCTATGAACCCCTACCTTCCACAGGAATTAGCCATAAAATTCTCACATTATCAGAGTTTTCAGAGCATAGGCAAAAACGTACGAAAACATAACATATTGAACATGCAAGAAAAACTGGGAGCACTTACACATTAAGCATGCTTGAAACTACCTCAAAACTAAACATATATGGCTCAATTATATATCAATAAACTCCTTATCTCATATATTTTGTGATTATAAAAAGGTTTGAGCATACCAAGCTTTTAATCTTCAAGAAAAACGTGAGAGAAATGGTATATGCTCGGTGTTGCTCTTCTTGCTTGCTCCTTGTGTAGCTGCGGCTCTTTGGCTTGCCTCCTTGAAATTTACTGAACTTTGCTGCTCTTAAACTCTTCTAAGGTGAGTAAGGATGAGGGTGAAGGTGATGGTATGATTTTGGTATGAAGGATGATGCTTACAACTCGAAGATAACCTGAAACAATCACTTG